TGGCAATAAAATCGCTATTCAGTTACTTATAATAAATGCTGAATTATCAAAGATTATGTTTTTGCAAAGAAACCAAAAACTATCGATGACCTACTGCAATTTATTTGAGATGCTTTTGCAGACTTAAGCGGTCAGAACCATTTGTGTTGTGACATTTGTCAAAGTGTTCTCTCATGTTGTAGGGAATGCATTGAAGCAGGTGGTTGGGATCCATCTATATATTTTTTTTTTATGGAATTATGTCAGGTTTCATGTTTTAAACTGCACATGAAATATTGTGATTATACTTATTTTCTTTATTTTAATTAATAAATTGTTTTATTGATAGTTCAGTAGTTGTAATTTATATAATAAATGGCAAAATTTGGTGGTGGAGGAGTATAAAATCTCCTAAGGATGTGTGATTTCTTACACATGCTTAGGAGATAGACAGCTTCTTTTTTCTTTTAAGTCAATTTAATGACCAGGGTTTCTCAGGTATCTTGTCTCCAGACCAGTTTTGAGTAAATTTAATGCCCAGGATTTTTCAAGAATCCTGTCCCCAGACTGCCTTTGAACTGGCAAACATAAAATTTTGTTAGTGATTTTAGACAGCCATAAAAGTAGAGTCCTTCAATAAACTGACCACCTAAAAGTTGACTGGGTGGTCTCTTTTTCTGGTTGGTGGTACACAAGTGGACAGATAGGGGTAGTGGGTCCCTCAGCCAGTATCCATATAATGAGTGGTCAATAAAGGATCGGCAGTCAGTCGGGGAAACAGCCAGCAATGTATGAAGTGGTCAGGTGTCAGTGAAATAGCTAGGCTGTGAAAGCATAGAGGTCCTGTTTCCTGTGGCTGGAACTAAGTAAGAAATTGTATTTCTTGCTACTTCCCAGTCAGTGTCTTGAAAAGCATTTCTTGTTATTTTTTGTTGGATTCAATCATGGCCCTAATATCAAGACAAACCTGTGTACATATTGAGCAATGGTGTGTATTTGCATACAGCCAACTTTGGATGTCATCATAGGTTTGTGTAGTGATGTGCAGAATCGCATCATCACAGTGCATTGTGAGAGAATTTGTTAAAAGTGCACCAACTGCAATGCAGATTTGGACATAGCACAAAAAGTCCAAAGAGGAAGGCTATGCAGAGCAAAAGAATTGGATGACAAACAGAATTGGAGAAATGGTTGAGTAGGCTCAGGAAACATTTTTATGAAGCCCCAAGAAGTCCATAAGAAGAGCAAGTCTGGATACCCAGTTTGGAAACTGTTACTCAAGACATGCTGCTGCATTTTTGGCAGAAGCTAGCCTACCAACTTGAAGCATGCCATGTCACAACCTTTGCAGATATTGAAAACTTGTGAAATCATTCATAAAATCTGAATACCTTTTAATTTCTCATTCAAATTTTGATGAATAAATCTTATTTTAATCAACAATTAGCCTGTTTAATTTCATTTGCTTAGACTATATAGCTTCTCAGATATTTACATCTCAAATGATATCAATTTTTTTTTAAATAGTCAGTATTATTTCCCTGGGTAGGCTTTTTTTTCTTAAGCTCCCCCAAAGTACTTCCCTTGGGACATCATATACTTATTCTAATATCCAAAGATCTCTTTCAAAATTGCTATCAGCTGATTTGCCACATTCTCCTTAATCTCATCCACATTCTGAACTCTTTTTCAATGGGGTGTTTTAGCTTGTGGAAAAAAAACAGAATATTATATCAATTACATTTGGACTAATGTCTTCATTTTTGAGATTATTGTATCAGACATTTTCAGGTGTCTGAAATTCATTACTTTATTTGTTACACACTGAAATCTTTTTCTTCAAATATGTTTAATTCAAATACTAGTGCATGAAATGAAATTCAGCAGGTCACTGTCACCATTTTAAACACTTATATCCACTTTTTTTTTTTAAACAGTGCAGTTCATCCTGCTCAAGGCCTGGGAGTACCTCAAGGTAGAGGGTTATAGAGTAAGAGGGACAGTTTGTGTGGATATGTGGGAAAGATAACTGGTTAAGATTGTAGTGATCGGGAAATCATCCTCTTAGGATTTGGTTCCACAGATTACTGGTTTGTAGGAAAAAGCTGCTTGAGTGAAATTTACTTTTCCCCAATGGAATACAAAGGGAATGAGGATGGTTTGTTACAATTTGCATGGTATGGTGGGTCTTAGCTGTGAATGTTAGAAATGGTGGAACTAAGGAATGTATTTCATTAAAGCACTTTCCATGGAAGTAGTGATATAGCAGTGAAAGGCTTGTGATATTTCATCTGTGAGAGAGGGGTTATAGGATAAAAAATAATTCATCACCCACAAGAATGTGGAGATGCTTTTGAACTCTATCAATACTGGAGAATGTGGACTGGGCAGCTCCTGCCTATATATGACAGCAGTATTACATTTTAGACTGTATCCGACTCTTGTAAAGGTAGAAGATAACACGAGGAGTCAGGTACTTAAGTGGCTAGTGAGAGTGGACATTTGTCTATAATTCCTTTTTTTTTATTCAGATTATTGTCCTTATCTTTGTTGTTGTTATCACAAAATTTCTGCTGTTGTGCCCTCTAGCCTTCCTCAGGTGTATATCAATCTGTGTAACCTACAGAGAATTCTGAACTGATCACTTTATTTAATCTACAGAGTAGACTGTTCTTGTTTCACTGCTCGTGTCTAGGGATATTGTCTAGTTCTTATTTTTATTTATGTATTTGTAATGTTGCAATAACAAAAATGAGGACAATAGTCCAAATAAAAATAGTGTAAATAATGATAACTTCTTATCCCAGAAATTAGATCAATGTACACCTGAGACAGGCTGAAGAGCACACCTGCTGAAATGTTGTGATAATAACAACAAAGATGAGGACAATAGTCTTAGTCTGAATATAAATAGTGTAAATAATGATAACTCCTTATCCCAGAAATTCAGACAGATATATTTCCTCTATATTACAATCACACACACACACATACATACATATATATATATATATATATATTTAAATGGTGCAGCATATATATTAAATAGTGCAGTATATGTAATATTATAAAGAGGTAATCATACAAAGAATTAATCAGTAAAGTTAATGATATTAATGGTGAAATCTCTTTGCTAACAAGTTTAATAAACCATTAACTTACTAACCATTTGTTGAATGATGCAATCCTTATGTTTAAAATTGTAAGATGGATTTGATCTTCTAGTGCTGTCATTCAATGAATGGTTAGTAAGTTAATGCTCTATTAAATTTGTTAGCGAAGAGATTTTCATTAACACTGATTAATTCTTTGTATATAATTTTTTTATATATATATATATATATATATATATATATATATATATATATATATATATATATATGTATGTAGAAAAGTAGTTGAATGACAAAGTGGAAAAAATTCTAAGTAACACATTTCATCCTTTGAAAGGACTTCATCAGACTAAAGTAATGTTCTTATTGATAGGATTATATATGTAGGTGGAGAGAGATATAAATGTGAACATCACTTATAATTATACAGTGAGTGGAAGTGATAAAGATGTGGGAATGCTAAATATGTCTAGATGCACAGTTCAGCCGATCTCATTTGGTTTCCCAATATTTTTTTGTTTTTATTACTGTTTTGAAATATCCCACATTGCGACAACGGAAGATTCATTAAGAAAGGTGAGATGTAAGAACCTGGATGCAAATTTACTGTAGATGATCTAGAAATCAGTGCATTTTCTATTTATTTTTGTCTTAGCAAATTACTTTCTCCTTTAATTACAGCAGCATTTTAAAATCAAAATTATGGTCACTTATTACAATGAACAACTAATGCAGTAAATATATTATTTTGTAAAAGATCTCTTTTGTGCTTATACAATCTTTTATTTAAACTCTTTGAAGTTTCTGATATGTATTTTTTGTGGCTAGCATTAAATTTTTGTTTCCGGTTTTAGGTTGTCATTGCTTGTATTAATCAAGTCTCTTATCATTTTACAAGTAGCTGTAACAAATTTTATATTAAGTTTAGATAATGCCTCCAAAACTAAACTTCTCTCCACTAATCATCTGAGAGAGCCCTCCATTATGGCTGATGCTAAACTCCAGGAAAGTGACTCATTGTGCTTTCTGACAAAGTGGAAAGGTTATATTGAATCCATTGCTAGGTCAGCTACTAAGAAAGTTATTTCATTGTATTTGTATAAGGTTGATTTTTTTTCTCCTTCTTTTATCATTTGTGTGTGTACATGCACAGATAATCTGTACATAAAATAAGCCTTAGAATAAAGGTCTGTTAAAGCTTCTTTTTCTTCTTGTAATAATAGTAGCAGCAGCAGTGGTGTTTGTGGTGATAGAGACTATTGTAACAGATGTTAAACTGTTTACTAGACATACAAGGGTTGATAGCCCTATTAGAAGCAGCAACCCCTTTTCAGCTTTTGGACATGTGTAAAAAGAAAAAAAAAACCGAGAGCATGTTTGCTGTGAATCATCAGAGGATAACTCTCTTTTCACTTCAGGCCTGAAATAGGGATAGGATGCTAAAATTAGCTCTGTGTGCAATAGAAACACACATGGCATAGACAATACACATTACTCACTCTAATTCACCAACAGAGTAAGTTTAACTATTTCTTTTTTTGACACTCTTAAAAGCATTCATGGAATTCATACTTTCTTTCAGGAATTATCCTCAAAATTTTCTCTATACAAAAATTTCTATCTCACTTTGTTCACTCTTTTGTTTGTCTATTTTCTCAGCCAATTCAACAGTTCTTACTTGTCAGCACACACCATCTTCTCAACTTCAAATGTTGACCACCCCACCAACTTGATAACAGCACTATCAAAGAAAATCTATATTAAATCATAGTATATCCTTAAACAATAATCAGATTACTTATTTTTATCTGACCATTTCATCTTTTAACCACTGACCTCCAAACTCTTTCAACATTGCTGATTCTAAGCTTTGTTACTCTTATCTTGAATTTATTCTATGACAATTACAAGAGATTTTAAAAATGGCTGACATTCATCCCAGACGTACCTCATAAAAATCTCTGCTATGGTAAAACATATCCCACTTCCACCTCCGGTGATAAAAGCCACTTTACCCCTGAAATTGAAGAGAAATAAAAATGGCTAAAAATAAGAAAGGCTAAAAAATACAACAAAGCAGTTGTTTTCATTTAATGACCACAAATACAAATGTTTTTTTTAAGGAAATTGGAGTCTTATAGGAATAAAATCGTATATATATTTTCAAACAATAAAATTCCATCAGAAGGTTTGTTTGATAGACAATCATTACAAAGGCAAATACTGTCAAAATACTTGGCTGACGTAGTTGTAGACCTACCACGTTATTTTAGGACCATTGAGAAAATAACAATAATAACTCTCTTCACCACGCCCGTAAATTCAAGAAAAAAGATTTTTGCAAGCCAGTATAAAATTATTTTCTAACCAATGAAAACCTTATATTCAAAAAATTCAAACCTCTATGTGAAACTAGTTTTTGAATCTCCCTTATGAATATAAAAAGAGAAGCATACTGCTTCTCATGATTCAAACCAATTTGGAAGGCCAGGTTGACCTACTTATGCATCCACACACTTGTGCTCAATAGAAGAGAGACAGCCAGTAGCCACCAACTAAAGCCTTGTCCATGCGCATAACAGAAGGGATTAATAGGCAGCTACCTACTAAGCCTTTATCTGTGACCTCATAAACACATCAGGCTGACTGTCATAATGTAAGTCTCCACACATTTCACACCACCCTATGGACACTTAATTACTTGATAAAACAAACTTCATTGTAAGGAAAATTGAACATTTTATTGACATTGTATATCTCTGAAAAGAATATATAAATGTTATTTCAAATTACATTCTGCTTCTTCTTCTAAATAACCTTTTATATTTTTCATTTAAAAGATGTTATTATTGTTAAATGTTTGGAATACTGACACTGAAACAAAACCGAGGTAGACGGATCCTAACAAATTACTAACCTTAGTTTGGGATGATCTCAATTGCTGATGTTAAAGCTTCTCTTAATATGTCCCATTTTGATTTTCCATTCTCATTTTGTCCATTGTATCTGCTTTTAATGTTGTCCACATATTTCTCCTTGACATTTGGGTCAATCAGAAGTTCCATTGTATTGCATATGTGTGCTGCCTTGGCCCTCTTCAATTTCCATACTTTCACTCATTAAAATTGTCCATGATTTTTTCTTTGTCTAGTTTTCTTTGAGATGATCACGATTGTGAATATTACTAAAGCTTCTCTTAATATGTCTCACTTCAAATTTCCATTCTCATTTTGTCAATTGTATCTGCTTTTAACATTGTCCATATATTTCTCTCTGACATTTGAGCAATCAAAAGTCCCATTGTATTGCATATGTGTGCCATATTGGCCCTCTTCAATTTCCATAGGTTCACTCATTAAAATTGTCCATGATTTTTTCTTTGTCTAGTTTTCTTTGAGATGATCACTATTGTTGATATTACTAAAGCTTCTCTTAATATGTCTCACTTCAAGTTTACATACTCATTTTTGTCATCTGCTTTTAACATTGTCCATTGTATTGCAATATGTGTGCCATGTTGGCCCTCTTCAATCTCCATAGATTCACTCATTAAAAGGTGGCTGTTCCTGCAGTCATCACTTGAGTATGTTTTGCCATGTAAGACTGCATTTCTAAATCTCTTCTTGATAGTTATGTAGTCAATTTCATTTCTCATATCTCCTCATGGGCTTCTCTATGTCCGTATGCATATCGGGTTTCTTGAAACCAGCTGTTAGCTATGACCTGATCATTTGCCATGCACCATTTATTTAGTCTACAGTTTCATGCCTTTGGATGTCTTACTGTCAGTTAATTTGCTCTGATAGGTTTTTTGGTTCACACTGTTGAGGTCAGGGATTGAACTTTTTGGGTCAAGTCACTTTTAGGATTAACCAATCAAAACTGCTATCCATTTGGCCATGGGTCCTTGGGGACTATCCCTGTAAACTAAATAAGTGTTAGTTCCCTTATTTTTTATGCATATCTGCTTTCTATTTCTGCACAATTTTCATTGAGTCATTCCTTTTTAGCTTGCCTGTATTTGTTACTAATTTCTTTGTGTAGACTCATATATTCTATGCTATACCATGGCATTGTTTTATTTTTTGTTTTTTTGTCTCATGTTCTTCATGTCAAGAATTCCATCTATCATCCATTCTTTTTTCCTTTGTCTTTTTTTTGTTTGGAATGATTTCAGTTGCTAATCTTACTAGCATTTCTCTTATCATGTCTCACTTCAAGTTTCCATTCTCATTTTGTCAATTGTATCTGTTTTTAACATTGTCCATATATTTCTCTCTGACATTTGGTTCAATCAGAAGTCCCATTGTATTGCATATGTGTGCTGCCTTGGCCCTCTTCAATTTCCATAAGTTCACTCATTAAAATTGTCCATGATTTTTTCTTTGTCTAGTTTTCTTAGGGATAATCACGATTGTTGATATTACTAAAGCTTCTCTTAATATGTCTCACTTCAAGTTTCCATTCTCATTTTGTCAATTGTATCTGCTTTTAACATTGTCCATATATTTCTCTCTGACATTTGGATCAATCAGATGTCTGTCATATTGCAATTTGGATTCTGACTTGGCCCTCTTTGATTTCCATAGTTTTACTCTAGGTTTACATTGAAATTTCTAGGGCACATAATGTGGAAAGAGGACTTCGAAAATTTGATACTTACAGGACAGATTGAAGATAGGGGGGGGCAGAGGAAAGCAATACACAACTTACCTGCTGAGGTTAGTGAATGGATGGCAAAGCAGGGTTTCGGAAGAGATGAAAAAAATTATTAAGAGCTACAAAGTACAAGAAATTGTGGAGAGCCATGATCATGTTAATTTTTTTGTACATATGGATGTCAATAAACAATGTTATCAGAAAATAATAGTGCTAACTCTAGTAGATTTTAAATTTATTGATAATTTTCTAACATTTCCTCAACAAGTTTCTTCGTAAGACTATAAAGCCAAAGTACATAAAATCCAAGAAAGTTTTAAAATATTTTAAATTTTTAAGATTACTGGGTAGTTATATAAACAAGGCGTTTACGCTATATTTGTCATGGTCGAGTGTTCAGCAAGGCAGCGACCCTCAACCTTCTCATGGGACTGATGATTATGATAATATTTTATTTCCATTATCTCCTCATTACTTAAATTTTCCAAACATCTGGCAGTCTTACAATCATTCAAAACAAACACATTTCTCTGTTAAAAATGCTTTCTTTTATGCGATCTAAAAGTATGTAATATTTGTTTCAATTCAGATTTTATATAAAATTTAATTTAAATAAGATATTTTTTTTTCTTAAATAACGTTTCACAAAAGTATATTTAAATTTTTTAAAGATATTTTAACAAAGAGAATTATGTCGTGCTGACAGATTTGTTACTATATAGACCATTTTATCGATTTCACTAATAATAATAATAATAATAATTCCAATTAATTTAAGAATTCAGTTTGAAATGCAGCATAAAAGCTTGAGGATTTTTCATTTTTAAAAATGCATTTTTTAATTTAAAAACGCTTTTCTTCAAACCAGTTTAAAATTTTCTACTTTTTGGGTGATAATGTTGTAAAGTCATTAAAACTTTTTATTTACGCAATAACTTTTTATCAGATAATGTTGACAATATAACAATATTTAGCTTAAAAGTCCTTTGATGTAGATAAAAGTTACATATTTTTTTAATATACTTACTTCCTTACTCTATTTAATATTTTTTAATATTAAAAACCCCGGGGCGGTGACAAGAGAATAAACTTTTCTTAGAGTAAAAAATATTAAATAGAGTAAGGAAGGTCCTTCTTACATTTCCTAACAAAACAAATGTTATTTTGTGCTTGGCACAGGTAATGATATTTAACTTTAATATTTTAGAATTTATTTATTACAAACTGTGACAAGTATACAAAATAAGAGTAAAAAATTATCAAAATAAAATTTAATATGGAAAAATAATTTGTCTTGGACTTTGTTTAAAAAGTTTTTTCTCGATGAGTTTGGACGTGGAGGTTTGTTTTGTTTTTTTGTTGGTTTTAATTTAATTATTGATTTAGAAAAAATCGATTTGTTGCACTTTTATGGAAAAAGAAGTTTCTCATAACTTTATATTGATTAAAAATATTCACCTAAGTAAATCCGGACGGAACAAATGTTTATAATCGTTACAAACTGGTTCGATAAATTTATGGGTCGACATCCTGGCTTGAAAACGGACACAAAAAGTGAACTTTAGTCATTTGGAGTTACTTCCCCTTATTTATGCATTTAAGTCAGTCAATATACTCGTCACCTAAAAAGATGAAAGCAGGTTCAATCCTTAATGACTGCTCGATAACATTATCAAATAATTTTTATATGATACATATATAATTATTCAAGTAATTATATTGATTAAACAGGTTGATATTTATTATTATTATTTAAAGAAAATATAGAAAACGCATTTTTAAAATTATTATTTTTTAAAATCGGAAATTATTTCAGCGATTACTCCCTGGCCCCTTCATGTGCATGTGTAATAATCACATCAACGTAAATACCGCTTTAGCTTTTTTAGCCCGATGAAGTCCTAAATGACGAAACGTGTCACACAAAAAAAAATTCCCATTAATTTTCCTAAAATTGTTCTTAGACAATAATGACTCCCTCACATGAAGTCCCTACAGACGATAATGATTCCCTAAGACTCAGATGAATTGAGTACTGGAATACATTCCTCAAAACAATATGGCGGGTCGAACATTTTTATTCATCGTTATCGCCATAATTTGACCCTAAATAAAAAATTATTTTTATGAATAAAAAGTAAGTGACCTGTCATATCTGATGATGAGCCTTTCGTACTCAAAATAAAAACACTACAGGATCCCGCTGTCCCCAAAATCTGCGGTAAACTCGTAATAGGTGCACAACCCCTTACTCGAGACTCGGCATCTTCCTCTCGTCAACGCATCTGCATAATAACACCCAGCCATGCCACAAACCGCATGTCCTATCGCTGACTGCAACTACATCACACCGGACATAACGAAAGAGAAGACCTTCTTAATATTTACGCTATAACACACAGCGCAACCAGGATGACTGGCGACCAAACCGAAAAGTTCTTTTGCTCCACCATCTCAGGTGGTAGCTCAAGCAAAGATTGGCAGTACTTCCTAAGGAGACGGAACAACTACAGACAGGAAACGAATATCACAGGCAGGGACACCAGCATCGAATTAATGGAATGTTGTGAGGAATCCCTTCGAAGAGACCTCCATCATTGTAATGGTGAGATCGGCATAGAAACGGAAGAGGTCATCTTAGCGACAATACGACGCCTTGTAATTCTGGAGGAGAATACCATGGAATCCAGAACCATCCTGTAGAATATGCACCAGGACAGAGATGAGAAGGGTGAGGAACTTCGCTGCCAGATTACACAGGCGATCAGACACATGTAAGTTTCCCAGCGCTTGTCGTTTGCGGTCGTACCATAAATTTCACAGAACAGATGGTCAGAGATGACACCGTACGTGGCCTAGAGGACCCTGAAATACGACAGGACATTCTTAGCCACAAAATCCAGGCCCTCACCCTAGAAACCACCCTCTGGTTTGTGGAGGCAAATGATTCAGGAAAGATATCTAAGGCATATCAGAGTGGTGCAGACCATGTTCATGTAGCAAGTGCATAAAAGAGGCAGGACTACCAATAATAGCTATAAACAGGTTGTTGACCAGAGAGATGATGAATCCTGCCCTAACTGTGGAGAACTAACAGACTCCGGCGGGAACAACATCAAGACAAAGAGGAGGGAATGTAAAACATTCAACAGTAAATGCAAGAGCTGAGGCACTCTAAACCACTTCGTCAAGTTCTGTCGGAGCCGCAACTAACCACCAAAACCGTCCTGGGTATGACGATAAACTACATCCGCATCCAGTGTAAGACGATAAACTAGATCCAATAGAAAGGCCTCTGATCAGGAGGTTTTGACGAACGTGAAACCACCTCTTAATTGCTGGTGTTCCCAGGTCCACCCTGACCCGGGGTGACCATAGCTGTTAGGGTCCCAGCTATGGTCAAATATTTAACTCCGAAACTGAGGTAAAAAGCATTTTAAAAGTGTAAAAATAGGTTTTAATACCAGAAATACTTTGTAAAAAATTATTACCAGAAATAAATTTTTGAAGAAAAAAGCTATTACCAGCAATATATTTTTGAAAAAAATATTACCAGCTATTCATTTCTGAGGAAAAGATATTACCAGAAATAGATTTTTGACAAAACAAAATATTAACACTACGAAAGTGTAAAAATAGGTTTTAATACCAGAAATACTTTGTAAAAAAAAATATTTCCAGCAATAAATTTTTGAAGAAAAAAAAAACTATTACCAGTAATACATTTTGAAAAAAAATTATTACCAACAATTTTTTAAAAATAATTATTACCAGCAATACATTTTTGAAGAAAAAATATTACCAGAAATAGATTTTTGACAAAATAAAAAATTACCAGCAGTAAATTTTTGTATGTCATTTAAATAACCCATTGATGTTGATATGCCGTAAAACAAACCAAACCAAACCAAACCAAACCAAACCAAACCAACCTCCCATGCAAAAAAAAAAAAAAAACGCAACCGGACACAAAATCCCAAACAGGATGTGGGGATGGTCTACAACATGTTATGGGAGTCCACGGGCGGCCTGACACCAAACAGATGCGACAGCAGTGAGGCCGTCAAGCTTGAACATAACACATTTACCAGACATTCCGGTTGGAAACAAGGAAATTCCCGATCTCAACCCACTATAGACATTATCACCTGGGCTGACACTGATAAATATGTCCATTTTGGGCAGCCGCACATGCAGACTGACTGTAGTAGTTGACACTGGCCTCTAGAGCTCGCTGATGAGTGTTCGACTACTCCCCCACATCGGAGTAAAAAGGTCTGAGCTAACACCTTTAAGAATGCGCATGAAATCCATTGACCGGAAATCTGTCAACATATTGGGGACGATACGACTGCATATGTCGGGGCAAAACAATCGAGGGGACTCCATCGAAATCGTTCAAATTTGCTGTCACAACAGACACAGACAACCTTTATGTATCAAGGGATGCCTGCACTGGCCTGGGTCTCATCTCCAAGGACTTCCCACAAATTGGAGAAGCGGTCGCGCCCCACAACCAACTTCATCAGAACAGACCCACCATTGAATGGCGCTGCTTCAAACGAACGACACCCCTCCACTGCCCATAAGCTTACCGTTCTCAGCAATCAAGGAGCATCGCGACGACCTTCGGAAATGGCTGATAGACATCTTAATTCAACAGATTTGCACCTGCGAGTCTTAAACACTACCCCTCATGGAGGGACCACTCTTGAAACTAAATATAAACCCTAACGGCACCCTGGTTGCCATCTTTCTTTTTATCTACCATGTCCTTTCAGGATGTAAGCGATGATGGCTCTCCACCTCCCTCTATCCCTTACAGCTCTCAATAAGTTCCTTCCCTCTGCTTCCTCCCCCAGACCACGTTCCGTCATCCACTTGCTTAAGTCCGCCAGGTATGTCACATGTTGTTTTCCCTTGTCTCTCTTTTCCTTTATTCGACCCATGAGTATCAGATTCTCCAGGCCCACCTTCCTCATTATGTGCCCCATAAACTTCAGCTGCCTCTTCCTGATATTAAGTATAAGCCTCCTCCTTGTTTTCAACCTCATTAAGACCTCATCGTTGCTCACATGATATCCTTAGCATCCTTCTGTAGAACCACATCTCTGTCGCCTCAAGTCTCGTCTTCATGTTTGAGGAAATCGTCCAACATTCGATGTCGTAAAGAAGGACAGTTGTCACGTAACTGTTCAGTATTCTTTTCTTTGTTGGAATGTGTCGTTGTCCATCCCAATACATCTACGGATCTCATTGTCGCATTTACCGTCCTCTGTCAAGACGCTTCCCAGATATTTAAACTTCTGCGTCTGCTAGATTCTAGCGTTCGCAACCTTCAAATCGCATTTCGGGCTCATCCTCTTAATGAGGACCATGCGCTCTGTCTTCTTGTAGTTTATGCTTAGTCCTTTCTTGCCGTACACAAACCTATTCCAGTACCACTCCACTGGTAAGATGAGGTAAAATCCGATCTAGACAGAGTCGTCCGTCTAGGAGTCTTGAAACTGGTCCCTGTTGAGGCACCCGTCACATAGTGCCATAGAATAATCATCTGTACAAAGAAGAATGGTAGCCTACGTCGCACAGGGGACTTACAAGCACTAAATGCCTACAGTGCAAGAGAGACGCACGACACTCAGTTGCCATTTCACTAAATCACCTTCGTCCATGTCTACAAAAAGAAGATTGTATTCGATGCATGGAATGGTTACCATTTCATCCACATAAGAGAGGGTGATCGCCATTACACCATCTTCATCACACCCTGAGGCCGCTATCGATATCGGACAACCTCCCAGGGATACATAGCGTCATAGGACGGCTACTCTAAGCGATTTCCCCAACAAAAGCAAATGTATCGTTGACACATGCATATGGGCAGACAGGCTGGAGGACAGTTTCTTCCGGGCCTGTAGATGGCTATATCTTTGTGGTCACAATGGAATTATCCTCAACCTCGATAAATTTCAATTCTGGACAGACTCCGTGGAATTAGGCCGGCTTTGAAATCTCAGTGGACAGCGCAAAATCATGTCAGAGATTTCTGCAAACCATCACGGACTTTCCCTCACCAAGAAATATTGCGGACAACCAGTCCTGGTTTGGCCTCGTGAATCAGTTCAGCTACTGCATATCTATGACCGACGAAATGAAACCGTTCAGGGAATTCCTCAAATCGTCCACGGAGTTCTACTGGGACGACCAACTACAGAGCCTATTTATTTGAGAAATCAAAAAGGGTCATCGCTGACAAAATCAAAGAGGGAATTGTCATTTTCGACAAGAGTCACAAAACCTGTCTCATGACTGATTGGAGTAAAGATAGTCTAGGATTCTGGCTTCTACAGAAACACGGCCCGTACCCCAGCGATACACCAACATGCTGTCCCTCAGGTTGGGGGATCGCACTTGCAGGGTGTAGATTCATCCACCCAGCCGAGTAACGGTATGCACCTATTGAAGGAGAATCCCTAGCCGTGTTTGATGCCCTCAAAAGAGTTAAACGTTTTATACTTTGTTGCGACAACCTGATCATAACGGTCGACCACAAACCACTCCCGAAGGTTATGGAAATTTGCAGGCTAGAAGAGATAAGGAAACCCCCGCCAGCTAAGCCTAAAAGTGAAAACCGTCTCCTATAAATTCCGGATGATCCATATAACAGGCCGAAAATATAGAGAACCAGATGCAATATTCAGGCAGCCGTTCGGTTCACTATATTGACCATCTTTGCCAGACGACACTTAGACCCCAACAACGATGTCACCTCAAGTGAGGCGACCACCCGTGACTGATGAGTAACCCCATGACACACGAGGTTACCGCGTCGTTCCAGGAAACACATAACCCTGTCACCCTAACCACCTCAACCTCACCCACTTCCTTCCAATCAATTACATAAGAACATGTTCGCGAGGCCACCTCCAAGCGATCCGATAATGGAAGCATTTCTCGAAATCGTTGAAAATGGATTCAAATAAATAAAAAGGGACCTATATATAAATATATAAGAATAGTTCCCCAATTATTGAGCATCTGTCAGTTGTCGATGTATTACAGACAAGCCTCTCATCTACGGACCCCCCATCACCGGACTTCGGATGCAACGGACAAAATTTGCAGGCAAAATAAAAAAGAAAAATCTGCAAGAAAACAAACTTACAAATCGTCAGCGATGAATTTCAAAATCTGCTGGCTTAGCGGAACGAGTCGTATTAGTTCTCAAAGTGACTTCTTGGCGGTAGTGGTTGGGCTTTTCAATTGTAAACAAAGATGGGTGTACAGTATATAAAGTACGATTAACCCGTGCGTGAGAAAGTAGCTGTGAGAAATCCGTTATTTTTGTTATTTTGATTAATATATTAATTGTTCTGCCCTCGTCATGGCATCGAAGCAGAAGGGAAGTGTAAAAAGGAAACGTACAAACCTAAGTATCAGAGGAACTTCATAGCTTCTCTGACTCAGAATAATAAACCAATTTGAGTCCCCATTATATGATCATATTTATGATAAATATAATGTTATTGTATTTTTTAACTGTATATTTTAATATTATTGCCTTTCTGAGAGGGCGCTATCAAAGCTATTCTTCGTAAGTGTGTG